ATATTTTCTGCAAAAGTTATAATCTTGTTTCTTTTCCTGTGCTTCTGTCTTTTAATTCTTTTTCTTGTATTCTCTGATCTCTTGTCCCTTACTTTCCCTTCTGTTCTTCTCTCCCGTGTATCAGGTGCTGGCAGTTTCCAGGCATATATCTTTTAGGTTTAGAGTGTTTCGTGGCTTTTCTGGGCAATTTATTTCTGTAGCTGCAAACTTTCAGAATCTTTAAGGTGTGTGGAGTGATTACTGCTAACTTGGTATAAAATTTGCTGTCTTGCAGACTCTTGTCCTCATATCTGGGCCAGATGCTTAATTGCCCAGGTGTTTTACCTGGGTCTCCATGTCATCATGCTTTCTTGTGTGATTGACTATCCTGGCTAGGACTTATTAGTTTGAGCACTTCAGTCCTCAGGTTTTAAGATGGCTCCCAGGTATCTTTGGCCGTCCTGAAATTTGCTCACTGCAGTGCTCAGAGGCTGTGGTTTCTGGAAAACTTTCCTGAGCTGTGGTTGCATTACCTGGCTCCTCCTCCTAGGTCCCTACAGGGTATTAACTGTCCTCCTTTTGCTGACCTATGTTGGATGAAGGTACTCATTTTATATTTTAAATTTTTTAATCATTTTCAGTCTGGCACCATTTTGCTTAATCTTTCCTGGAGTAATTGGATTGTTCTCCCCTCCCTCCTCCCCCCGTCTTCTTTAATGACAGACCAACTTAACTTTTTGAAAGAAGAGATACTTAATCTATAATGTGGATTGATATTTTTGATTCTGGAATTAAAGAAGGGGCTTAGGAGGTTTCCTTAGAACCTTATTTCCTCATCAGGTGATTCTTGGGAGCCCATTTAATTTAAGACAATTTAAAAGGTTGTGACATTTAAAAAACTGACCAATCCAAAACTGACCCATAGGTAGATATAGTGGCAATAAAATATGAAATATCTTTTAAATCTCTTCAGGAATAAATTGTTATTTGCCCAGGGAAGTGGGTAAGTGATGTTTTAAGTGGTTTCTTTTCCCAGTTTATTTGCTGGTGACTATAAGGCAGCATATGTATCTGCTTATACCTTTAATATGGAATTGTATAATTTTGTGTTTTATATTCTATGCTTACTGACTTAAGATATCTGTAGATTTTCTTTATTCTTCTGTGGAGCATGGGATGTTGTTTCTCTTTCAGAAAGCACGGATCCATTCTCAATGGCAAGGGTTCTTAACCTTGGGTCTCAGTTTCTCAAGGAGGGATCTGTGAGCTTGGATAGGAAAAAAAAATCATTTTAACTTACATCTTTATTTTCATATAATTGGTTTCCTTTGAATCCTGTGTATTTCATTGTGTACATTTTAAAGCATTATTTTGAGAAGGGGCTCCTAGGGCTTCACTAGCTTGTCAAATGGGGTCCATGACACAAAAAAGTTTAGGAATCCCTGCTCTATAGGAGGAACTTAGTAACTATTACAAAGATTCAACTACTTGGGTTTTTCTGAGCAGAGAATTTCTTCTATCCTTCCAACTTATTCTCTGTTATGTTTGTTCATCCTCAGGTCCTTTGACCCTAACATGCTTTTTTCCTCCTTTAAAAAAAGACTTTCTATGATATAGTATGGCCCTCTTTAATTTAACTGTACTTTTAGGAAAATCTAAATCTAATTCTGGGGACCATGTCACTTAGAATGATAGCTCCTGTGATGAGGATGATATGATCTCTTGGCCTGTTTCATAGAGTTAATTAATGCCCACCCTACCTATCTTGAGTTGATCATTGGTCATAAAGGAGTTCTTACCGATGGTAGAGATTATGGATAACTATCAGTGCTGTGTTACTGGAGCACTTGCTTCATATAGGCAAATATTATCCTCAGTAGAGATCTTTTCTTCATATTTCCTTCAGCACTTCCTACAAGCACTGAGGAAAATTAAGTAAGGAAAGGATATAGAAGTATTGAGGAAAATATGAGGAAAGAATCTCCACTGAGGGTATTTGCTAGCTTCTGGTGATTCAAAGACAAAAAGGAAACAGACTCTGTCCTAAGGACTTTAATGAATACTTTCAGATTGACAACGTTTTCTTTTTATTCAGTATCTGTTGTAGGAGGGCATTTGAAGAGTGTACTGGTGGCCTTTTTAAAAAAAAAAAAGTGGCTTGGTGATCACTTAGTCAACACACATTTATTAAATGCTTTTTATCTGCCAGGCATAGTGCTAAAGCCTAGGGATACAAAGAAAGACAAAGAGTGGTCCCTGCTTTCAAGGAGTTCATATTCTAATGGAGGAGACAACATGCAAATAACTATTTACAAATTTGTATATATGTGTATACTCAAAGTATAATGGCAGGTAATCTCAGAAACAAGGCAGGAGAAGGATATCCAGGGATGAGACCTCGAACATCATATAGAATATGGGATAAAAACCTAGTCTTCATTGAGGCTCTGAAAACCAGGAGTGCATTCCAGTCATGTACTACATGCAGTGAAAAGTCATGGAGTCAAGAGATGGAGTGCCATGCTTGAGAAATAGCAAGTTAAGTCATTGTAGTTTGATAGGTTGTGAATAGCTTTAAATTACAAACAGAGAATTTTATTTATGATCCTGGACATAATAGGAATCCTAAAAATAAACACCATCACAAAACCCTTTTGAAAACAGATTGGATGGGAGGGGTGGTAGATTGTGAATGAGAAGTAGAGGATGACACTGAAGTTGCAAGTTTGTGTGACTGGGAGAATGGTGATGATCTCTTTTGGCTATTTCTCCTCCACCCCACTTCGCACCCCCTCCCCCTCTCCCCTTCCTTTTCTCTGGTTTAGGAGGAGGAGTTTTCTAAATTTATGGTTGTGTGGTAAGTTTTCCAGAACATGAAAGAAATGAAAGACAGCCCGTAGTGCAGAACTTAATGTATTCTAGCAAAGTTATTGAAAGAGATTTGGAGTCACAGATGATCTTGGATGTTAAGGCTGAGAACACAACGAATGTTTTTTTTCTTCCCTTGGGTGAGATGTACTTATCTGGGTTATGGAGTTCTTGGATTATATGCCAACTGGTGCCCTGATACTTGTGCAGCAGCAACATGACCTCCCATCTTATTCAAAATGACCCTTGTGCTGGTGATTCTTCATCAGTTTCTTCACTTCTCAGAGATTCTAGAGCCTTTTTTGGTAGGCAGACAAAGTGTAATTTCTTGCTTCTGCCACCATAATTTACTTTGGGGGAATCTATGGATATTTCATTTGTTAAAGGAGGAAGAAAAGGTAGTAGGAGAGATTGTAGATCACTCTGTGTCTGATATAGAGTTATTTGTTACTCTCCATACAGGGATAGTAGCTTCCCTTAATTGCCTTGGCTAGAGTCTGAGACATTTTATCTGTACATCTATCAGACTCACGGGCATACTTTGCTTAGGTGGCAATTATCTGTGAAGCTACAGCTCAGCAGAGTTGGACGAGGGGCTTCACGGCACTGGAAAAGAAAGCCAATAGAAAAAAAACAAACGCAAAAATACCTTAAAGTATGACCTGGGTTTAAATTTCTTCATTCTCCTGAGTCAGTCTCCTGACTTCAATGCAGGTGTATAGGTGTATTAAATGTATCAACTGAGTGAATACTCAGGGCTTTTATTCAGTATTTAATGTCCTGAGATGACTTGCATCTATCATGTGGATTAGCAAGTAAGTACAGGGGTCCCAGAAAAATGGTTCCATTACAGAACACAGCTTGGGCTTTTTAAAGAAACTAGCATCTGTGATTTTTATGGTGGCAATGGAAACTTCCTTGGAACCAGCAATTTTTCCAAACCAATTATTGAGATTTAACAGGGCTTAAATTAGTAAAAAATTCCTGAATTGATTGACAGCTTTGGTCACAAATCTTGGTTTTGAGCAAAAAACCACTTAGAATACTTGGAGCTAGTAGATGAAACCCAGAAAGAGTTCTGAAGAAGCAAGACTGCAGGTTTATAGGAAAAAAGGGAAAGTGCTTTGATTTTAAACAAAGCCAGTCAGAATGTTGGTTTTTTCATTTTGGACTGTGAAGATCCAGTGTGTCCCAATCTACTTTTCTGTAGTTGGGTTTAATCATCCCACCAATTTTTTGGTGATCCAGAAACGTTCAGTAATAATTAACATTATCAGTGACAAGTACAGTGGGCTTTAGTACTATAGATTTAACATTATGTAGATGTGAAGATTACTGTAATGGCAGACTGTGATTTAAAGGATGTGTAATAATTTTTTTTCTCCTTTATATTTGGTCTAGACCAAAAGTCAGTAGCTTTATACTTTTTTTTTTTTTTGCTTAACATAGGGGTTCTTAAACGTTTTTTGGTATGTCACTGACCCCTTTCGCAGTCTTATAAAACCTATGGACTCCTCAGAATAGAATAATGTTTTTAAATAAATGAAGTAAAAATTTTTAGGATTACAAAGGATACTAATTTATATGGAAAAGTTATTAAAATATATATTTTTTAAAATTCATGAACTTCAATTTAAAAATATTTAACCTAAAAATTGTACATAACAATTGTTACTGAGGGAAAGAAAGAGTATATGATACTGGAGGGTTTATTGTGCAGTAGTGCCAAGAAGATTTTTCCCATTAGTTTTGATTGTCTTTCAGTTTGATTAATCTGTATAATGGTGTTTGCCTCATGAGAACTTGTTTTTTATTGCAAAGAAGTATTGAAAGAATATGTTTCTTAAAAGTATCTCCATTTTAATCCTATTAACCTGAATCTTTGAAAAAATGGAGTGTTATTAAATAATGGCCTTAATTAGCAAAAATGACCTTCAGTTGGACTTTCCTTTTCATTATCTAGGCCACAAAGCCTAAGGCAGTGGGAGTGTTAAATGGGTGTCACAGGTACTGTAGTCATATTTCAGGCCCAATGAGTGTCCTGGATGTGATTTCCTGTCTTTACCAACTGTAATTAAACTAATATGTAGTTGACTGTGACTGGGCATGAACAGCAAATACCTATCACTTGCATTTTAGTCACACACCTGAATACATGCAAATACAGTATAGATGAACAAAGGCGTTGCTTTTCCTGGCTATAGACTAGAAGGTTTAAATTTTCTCAAGGATGGAAACAGAAAGTGAGAATAGTACTTCTGGAGATGACAGTGTCTTTTGGTTGGATTCAGAGGTGATCCAGGTGACTGATAGTGACATGGAAGAAAGGGAAATGGATTTCAGGTAACTATTTAATAACTTAATTCAGTCTCTTTGCCTTTGAGTAAGGGTTTCTTTTCTTTAATAAGAAGTTTTGGGTTAAATGGGAGACAGGTTTCTAGTTGCTTGTTACCCTATGTCTCTTTTCATTCCACAACTTGCTCTAGAGCTTGTAAAAATGCATTTTAAATGACTTGTTAGAGCACTAGGAAGGAAAGGTGTTAGACAGGTTTTGCACCTTCATTTCAAGTATTTCTAGTGGAGACTTATAAAAACCTACTACTTCCCTTATCTGATTGGCATTTGTACCGTGCATTTTTCTTCCTCTAAATGTGTTCTTTTTTGAATATGTTCATAGTCGACTTTTTATAAAATGTTACTTTACATATGACTGTAAATTTTTTCTTAATTCTTGGTCGCTTCTTTACTTTGAACCTGAGACTTAGAGTTTTCTTTGTTTTTGTTTTTCTTCATTTTCTTTTCCCTCTTTCTTTCCTTTCTCTTTTCTGTTTTTTGAGAGTAGGGTCATGGTATCTATAACCTCTCCTTGCCTTGAAATTCGAAGTGAAGGTTTCCCCAAAATGACTCCTGAGAAGCTTTGAAAGTACAAATTATTTAGAAATGTTTTCTTATCCAACTTTTTAAAACAATGTCAGCAGGATATTACTTCTCATAATTTTAACTTTGAAAAAGCATTTTTTTTCTGGCCTTTTCCATGAAGAAACTGTTTATGAATGTAAATTAATTCTTGGGAAGAGGAAAAAAAGTACTTGATGAAGCTTTTCATATACTCCACCAATGCCACCTACATAGGCAATTAAACACCTTTTTATACTTTACCCATGAATGCTGTGGAAGGTGAACATGCCATTATTTTTGTCCTGGTCTTCTTTATGTTTTTGTTCTTCTCATCTCTGTCTTAATGTAATGTACAATTAATTATTTTTAAGATTTAAAAAATGTCAGTGAAGAGGGGAATAAATATTTTTTAATTCCTCTCTTAAGAGTTCATACTGTCTTTTTGTTATTTGTATTTGCCACGATTGGTTTGGAAAAATATTTTTAAATTCTGAAAGAAGAAATTAATATTCAAAGCATTGTAAAGAACATTTGTTTAATGATGTGTGAAAATTCTTGGATAATATCTTTCACTTCAGAACTCCAGAAATGATATCATCTTTATGGGTATCCTCTCTCCTGACATCTGTTTTAATCTCTCACAGACAGTTTTATGAGTTGTTGTGACCAAAAAGATTTTTCCCCTGTTAGCCAACCTGATAGTAAGCCTTTTCTCTCAGATTGTTCCTCTGGATAGAATCTTGCCATGTAGCATGATTAAAAGTCTTTTGCTTTTAGTTATTTTGTTTCAAGAATTTTATTATTCAGTTAGCTTGTTACGCTGCCACTCATCCCCAGTTCTGACTCTTTCCCTGTCTCCTCATGACTGCTGGTGTTGCTCTTCTTGAATCATATTATTATCTCTTAGTATGATCAATCACATCACCAGCAGTCAGTTAAATTTAAATATCCTTCTGGGGTAGAAATGTTTGTCATCTGTGTAAACGTTCTGGGAATTTGCTAAGTAAGGAATAGGAAAAGTACCATTTGTTTTTATGTTGGAGAAAACTGGTAGTACTTGGGTACTGGGTAGTACTTGATTTAATTTATTGGTAAGGAGAAAGGATGTCAAAAATTGTGGCAGGATTTTTTTTTTCTAACTGGCACATTTAAAAGTAAATCTTGGAAGGAGTTTCAGTGATATTTTAAAATCTTACTTTAGGGCAGGGGGGTTAACATTTTGTCTATTGAAATTTCGAAGAACACAGTTTTATTTTGAGTAACTGAGTTGACATCTGTATTTTTCAGGAAACTACTGTTAAATCAGTTACTTGTCTTTCTTTATAGTTAACATTGTCTTTTCTCCTCATCCTACTTGTTCTTCTCCTCCTCCTTCTTCTCCTCCTTCTCCTCCTTCTCCTCCTTTTCCTTCTCTTACTTTCCTTTCCTCTCCTCTTTATTCTTCTCTTATTATATTTACAATGAAGGCATCATAAAGAGACCTGTGTAAGATTGAAATAATATTTTTTCTACCTATTCAGCAATATGGCATTAGGAAATATGTAACAGAAGATATCCTTTCACAGCACATTCTAGCTGAAATGTTTGGGAGCAAAAAAGAGGTGTGGATGTTAAAGGTGAATGAGTGTATGGTAGCAATTTCAGTTGTAGCTTTGATACTGTTAAACAATAGACTTAGTATTTTATGTGAGTTATTTTAGCAAAGTAGATTTAATAATTAAAGACAAACTTCATACTAAAACTTGAAAGTTTTTCTGCATGCCACTTATAGAAATAAAGAATTTTAGAGCTGGAAAGATTTAAATCTTCAAAATAGAAAGATCAGTAATTTGGACCTAATATGTAAAATGGTATTATGGGACTCAATTTCCTCATCTATTTAAATGAGGATAATAATAGTACCTATGACATAGGGTTATTGTGATGAGCAGAGGAGATAATGTATGTAAAATTCTTTGCCAACCTTAAAGCTACATAAATGCTGTATGGTTGTTATTATTAGAATTTGGAGCTGGAATCATGTCCACTCCATCCCCCCTCATTTTAAAGATGAAGAAAATTATACTTAGAGAAGTGATTTGCCCCAATGTTACATGGGTAGTAAATGCAAGAGCTAGAACTTGAACCTTACATGATGTAGCAGGTGAGATATTGCCAAATCTTGTCATTATTGTTGAACTTTTTCAGTATTTTAATTCTACATTTATATGGGTACATATTGTTAGCTCCACACCCACACATGATAATCTCTTTGAGGGCAGGTACTAATTTATCTTTGTATTCCCCCAGCTCCTACCTAGTGCAGTACATTGCACAAATAAACACTTAACAAATGTTTGTTGGGTGAGTGAGTGAATGAATGAATGACTCTTTGCTTAAAAATGTAGTCGATAATGCCAAAAGATAAAGCTTCCCACTTGCCTTAACTTAATAGCTTCTATTTAATGGGTAACAGGTTTCAAGTTATTGTTGTTATTGTTATTTTTTTAAAGAATAATGCTTTACCTGTTGAGATAGCATGATCAAGAGAACTATTAACCCTTAATAATAGACATAGTAAAGACCATTCCTAACCTAAAAATGACTAGTTCTGATAATAAATAGTTGCCTCCTACCACTAGACTTTTTTTCTGCTAATATCTAGAATTACTAGAGTTTGATAATAACAATAGTTATAATGAAAGAAAAGCAAAGGGGGAAAAACCCAAACCAAATCTGAAGCTTTTTAGAGGATCTACTGGTTTAGAAGTGGAAGAAGAATGAGCCGTGAAAATGAGGCACAGCTTTGGGGACTTGACTCTAGCATTCTTCCCCAGAAATACACACCCACACACCCATATATATATATTTACCCATTAGGCATTTTATTTAAAAATGAAAATATCTTTGTTACTTTTCTAGTCTTTACACCTTCCTGGGCAACTCCTTTAATTCTGTTTGCCTCGGTTCCTCATCTGTAAAATGAGCTGGAGAAGGAAATGGTAAACCACTCTAGTACCTTCACCAAGAAAACCCCCAAATTGGAGTCATGAAGAGTGAGACACAACTGAAAAACAACTAAACAGCAACAAAAACCCCATAATGTATTCTTCCATCCAGTGAACACTGGCCTCTTTTCTGTTCCAGGAACAAAACTTTATCTCTGAGCATTTTCTCTGGCTGTCTCCCATGCTTGAATTGCTTGCCCTCCTTACCTATCGGCCTACTGCCTTCCCTGGCTTCTTTTAAGTCTCAACTAAAACCTGTCTCCTCCAGGAAACTTGTCTCAGCCTCTCTGAATTCTAGTGCCATCCCTCTCTTAATTATTTCCTATTTATCCTGTATATAGCTTATTTGTAAGTAATTTGCTATTGTTTTTCCCATTTGATTGTGAGCTCCTTGAGGGCAGGGAATGTCTTTTGTCTCTTTTTATATTTCCAGTGCTTAGCACCATGCCTGGCTCTCAGTAAGCACCTAAATGTTTATTGACTAACTGACTCGGGTACCTTTCAGCTCTGAGATTTACAGATTCTGTGGAGAGACACTAGAGAGCTATAGCCCTAGTTTCACTGAACTTGATGAAGCATCAACTGTTAAAATCTGGTGCCCTGCCAAATAATATCCCATAGGGATTTTTAACTGATAACCCAGTTCTAACATTCTGCCTTCTTTGAGCAGTCTCCAGACACCAGTGACATTTTAGAAAATTCTGTTATCAAATGAAAAACATTGCTACACATCAATAACATCTGTATTTTAAAATGTGTCCTCTAAAGACTTCTGGGACCTATAGATACAGCCATAATCTTGGAAAAAATCCAAATTTCATTGGTTTCAGGGGATAAAATAGATTATTATTTTTCTTAGTGACTGACTTCCAAGTGAGTTGGCCAAGTATGGCAAATTATCTTCAAACCAAAACAAAACAAAAAACCCCAAAACTCAGCAACCGTAGAGTACACCACCTCAATGTATTAAACCACGTCTTAAGATCACATCAGTAAAACTGGAAATTCCAAGATCAGATGCATCAGATCTTTATCTTTAGCTCCATATAAAGAACCAAATTTGAATGAATGAAGTTAAACCTTTGATTCTTATTAAAATATATGAAGCATAGGGTCATAGAACTGTAAGGAATCTTAGAGGTTATCTCATCTAACTCCCTTGTTCTTAACAGATAAAGAAGTTAGAGCCTGGAAAAGTGAAACGAGTTGCCTGTGGTCACGCATAGCCTTGTTATGGCAAACATTGGATTTTAACTCAGCTCTTCTGATTTCAACTCTAATGCTTTATTTTCCTTGTGTTTGCTTGATTTGTTTTCTTATGTCTGCTTCACTGTGTATTATCTAGCTTATGCTTGTAGTTTACAAATGAGGGTAGAACATTTAGAAAAGTTCAGGGAGTCAGTTATTTAAAAGATGAATTGTTTTCCTTTCTCTTGGGTTAGGTAAAGATAAATTCAA